GAATTAACCGTTGAATGAAGAAACTAACTGACAACCCCGCAAATTGTCTTGCTTCGCGCGCAAAATCCGCCTTTTTTCATGGGTTACAACACATTTGAGGTCATCATCTTGATCAATTCTTGCACGACTGACTTCGAAAGCACCTGCTTCTTGTAAAGCGGAACCCACAGTGGCTAATTCCAGGTTTCCAGTTTGCCACACCGCAAATATCTCCTTGGGGATCGTTTAGAGGGAGAAACAGTGCCAGGCAGCTAGACGGAGAGAGACCACCAAGGGTGTGTTTTCCATTACTCGTAATGGTCATACAGGGCCTTGCGCACTGCACCGAAAGCAAACAAAGCCTGAAGATAAGAAATGGCAATGAGTTAACGGTTAAGGAAGAAAGGCATATTAACTTTTATTGAACTTATGGGCTGCGTTTCGTCATCTAATTAAACTGATTTTACCACTGGCCATCGGTAAATTTTCCTTTTTCGTCAGAAATTGAGACTTCGAGAGACCGCTCATTTGAGCAAATATTAGGAGCAGAACCGTGCAAGAATCAAACAAAATCGCAAATCTTCGGGAAAGCTGAAAAAACAATCAAATTCACTCGTCATTTGCATATAGATAGCCTTTAGTAAGTATATGAATGCCCTGCATTTTTTCCTTGAATTATCTGTTAATTCCTGAGAAAAACGATGGAAGCCGTTTTCAACTTAGTCACAATTTGGCGATCCCAAACACGCGCAGACAGGGGGGAAATTAATCATGATTCACTTGATTCGCTTGTCAAAACTGCTTCGCCAGAAAAAGCCGTCATAGTTCCAATTTTTTGTATAACTTGCCATGGTCTAAACACCACGATTTCATAAGCATGAGATTTATCTGAGTATTCAAGAGAAGCAAATAAGTTATGGCTCTCCACTGCTACGTAAAATGGTAGGCGAAAAATAATGATAATTTTGAGCCTGTGCCTTTGTTTAGAATGTCGTAAGATTAAGAATGAAAATACCCGAGTTAACGATCTTTCAAAATATGTAAAATTTACTTTGGGGAAATGAATGTGGGATTTTTAAGAATATGTTGAAAATCGTCAACGAAATACCTTAAATCACGCCACATTGCGGTATGCATGACCATGGACAAAAACGATATCGTTTTTGTTTTAGAAATCTTGGCAACTCAAAAAGCGTAAAGAACAATGCAAATATACTGACCCCAACTTGGATACGATATTCTCGAATTTTCAAAGTGCTTCATTTTACCGTTTGGTTAATTTCATTCATGAGGTTTATCATGAACAGAGAAGCCCGCCGGTGCAGTCAGTATCAAAACCGGCTTAGTTTCAACGAATTCTCCGTAGCTCACGTTTCACATTTGTACTCTTTATACTGTTCATATAAATCTTTCTGAAAATTCTGAAGGAAGCCATAAAAGGGCTGACAATAAAGCCAACTAGTTCGATCAAGTATGTGTTCCCTTGCAGTTTACTGTGAACCGTTTTGAGACTTTATGCAAATTACGTCTTGCTTGCAAAGGAACACAAAATTTGCATATCAGGCTAAGCAAGAGTTCGTGACAGTAATTGGTACTGATGATAGGGTGGATAAGGTATTCTCAGTGGCCAAGAGTGGTTTTTTTTGCCATCTGTCTCTTTTCTTTCGTATTTGACGATCGTTGTTCCGAAGTTTTCAATCAAATTAGTTCAAAACAGGAAAAAGGTCTCGATGATTTTCAATTGTTACCCTACGTTATTTCCATAGCGCGACAAGATAATATGATAAATTTGCAAACAAGAACTATACTCCAGAAAGAGCAAAAACCTCCATCATTTCCCCAAGAGCAGGAACACGCAAAGTGTAGTCTTTTTTACATGTAAATTTAGAATATTTATTTAGTTCACGTGAGAAATAAACGTACACTAATGAGGTTAATTTAATTACATGAAATTGGGTGGAACAAGGGAGATAAATTCTTGGTGAATTGTTCATTAGCGATGTACAGAGAAATCTGCTACCCCAAAGTAACGCATTATAGAAAGAGACCGCATACTTCCTCTTTCCCCCACTCCCCCTCCTTCCTCC